TTAACGTGCCCAAAACGGGGCACGGACCCACCCTGGCCACTCCCCCCCTCTGGAATTCCCAAATCCCAGCTCCAGACCTTCTTGTCCTTCTCGGAGCCGTCGGTGAGCAGGACCCCCTTGGCCTGCATGTGCCGGTACAGGACCCGCTGCAGCGCCGACATGTCGCACTTGATCACGTACTCCACCTGCCAGGACCCAAAAAAAGGGGGTCAGGCCCCGACCCCCAAGAGACCCCCCCTGGACACCCAAGAGACACCCCAGAGCCCCCCCGGACCCCCAGAGCCACCCCTAGGACCCCCAGAGCCATCCCTGGACCCCCAGAGCCACCCTGGACACCCAGAGACACCCCAGAGCCCCCCCCGACCCCCAGAGGCCCCCCCAGACCCCAGAAGCCACTCAGACCCCGCCAGAGCCAAACCCTTGGAGGCCCCCAGATCCCCCCGGAAACCGGTAGAAGCCACTCCAGGACGCCCAGAGCCCTCCCCAGACCCCAGAGCCATCCAGACCCCCAGCAGGCCATCCGCCCCCATGCAGCCATTCCCAAGACCCCCAGAGCCATCCCCAGACCCCCAGAAGCCACTCCAGACCCACAGAGCCCACCCACAGACCTCCAGAGAAGGCCACCCCAGACCCCCAGAGCCACCCCACGGGTGTGTATTCCAGGGGAAGGGCAGGAAGGACCCTCTGGGTGTATCCCAGGATGGGGAAGGACAGGACGGACCCTCTGGGTGTATCCCAGGGAAGGGGACAATGGGAATGACCCCCTGGGTGTATCCCAATGAAAGGGACAGCAGGAAGGACCCTCTGGGTGTATCCCAAGGAGGGGAAGAGCAGGAATGACCCCCTGGGTGTATCCCAATGAAAGGGACAGCAGGAATGACCCTCTGGGTGTATCCCAGGGTGGGGAAGGGCAGGAATGACCCCCTGGGTGTATCCCAGGATGGGGGACAGCAGGAATGACCCCCTGGATGTATCCCAGGGAAGGGGACAGCAGGAATGACCCCCTGGGTGTATCCCAAGGAGGGGGACAGCAGGAATGACCCCCTGGGTGTATCCCAGGGTGGGGAAGGGCAGGAAGGACCCTCTGGGTGTATCCCAAGGTGGGGAAAGGCAGGAATGACCCCCTGGGTGTATCCCAGGGTGGGGAAGGGCAGGAATGACCCCCTGGGTGTATCCCAAGGAGGGGAACAGCAGGAAGGACCCTCTGGGTGTATCCCAAGGAGGGGAACAGCAGGAAGGACCCTCTGGGTGTATCCCAGTGTAGGGAACAGCAGGAAGGACCCCCTGGGTGTATCCCAATGAAAGGGACAGCAGGAATGACCCCCTGGGTGTATCCCAGGGAAGGGGACAGCAGGAATGACCCCCTGGGTGTATCCCAAGGAGGGGAACAGCAGGAAGGACCCTCCCAGTGTCACCTTTTCCGGGAGCTGAGCCTCCACCTCCTTCTTGAGGCGGCGGAGCAGGAAGGGCCGCAGCACCTTGTGCAGGCGGCGGATGATGAGGATGGTCTCCTCCTCGTTCAGGTCCACCTGGGCCAGGAGCGGGAATGTCACCAGGGATGGCCTGGGATGGAGCCCAGGACCCCAGGACACCGGGGCCATCCTGTGCCAGAACCCCCCTGACCCCCAATTCCCGGCGGGATCCACCCCAGGAGCTGCTCGGCCTCATCCAGCAACGGTCCCGGGGTGGGAGGGGGATCCCAGGGCTCGTCCCGGGATGGGGAAGGGCAGGGATTGGCACCAGGAAATGGGATTGGCACCAGGGAAGGGGATGGGCACCAGGGAAGGGGATGGGCACCAGGGAAGGGCAGGGATTGGCACCAGAAAATGGGATTGGCACCAGGGAAGGGGGTTGGCACCAGGGAAGGGGGTTGGTACCAGGAAATGGGATTGGCACCAGGGAAGGGGGTTGGCACCAGGGAAGGGGATGGGCACCAGGGAAGGGAACAGAGCCCTTAAAGGTGGCGTTGAGACACAGCCCAGAGCT